AAATTATTAGAAATTATTAGACATTAAGAATTAGTCAGAATTAGTTATAATAACAAATTTACTAATTCTATAGTGATTTGAATCTTGAAATCACTCACTGATTGAAAATAAGGTCTAAAAAATATCTATAAATAAGGCTTAAAAGTGTCTAAATAATCTTTTTGATTCAAGCAGATCTGTTATATATGTTATATATTCTGCTATATATAACCGATACAGTATATCCGCGCCCTTACAGTACTTAGAAAATGGCAACTTATAATCTGACAATTGGTAGTATATCCAAGGTAACAATACCCTGAGAGATTCTCGGAGAAATATATCTTTATCTATTGTTTTACCTATTAAAATCTATATTAAAATTGATACAGTTCAACCGGGGGCCCTGATAACTATATTAACTATTATTAAAATTAATATCTAAAATATCTATTTCTATATCTTATATATATCTAAAAGTTATCGAATATCAAAATTAATATCTAAAATATCTATTCCTATATTTTATATATACCCAAAAGTTATCAAACTAATAAAGACTATTTAGTTATTTATCTAAATTAGTTATAGTTATATAGAAAATCTTAATAAAAATATATAAATTTATTTATATTTTATACTGATATAGTAATCTTATTATTTAGTAAAGTATCTTAGTTTATTAATAGTTAAACTATCTACTATATACTATATATAATATAGTTATTATTATTAGAATTTAAATATAAGAATAGAGAGTTAATAGAATCTATATCTTTCTCTAAAATCTAAATATATAATAAAACAAAATCTTACTAATGCTATCTATCTATATCTTTCTAAAAGAATTTATAGTGGAATATAGATAGACTATTTAGAAATTACTAAATAGATTAGTTTCTCTTATAACTACTATTACTTTAAATATAAATTTATTACTAATAATCAAGAATATTATTGATATCTTATTTAAATAGCTGAGAGGTCTACTTTAATAGTCTTAAATAGGATAGTATTAAATATCTCAAAAAAAATTTTAAAAGAGAAAAAATAAGACTAATAGTACTAATAATATATAAAGAGTATAAATATATAATAATAATTTAAATATTTTCTCTATAATTAGTTTCTATAATAGAAGAAACAATTGATATTAATCTTATAATGAATATTTTCAAATTATATCTAATAATATTCTAAATAATAGTTAAATATTTTATTTTTTAAAGTTATAATATTATTTCTTTATTTACTATTTATTTTTTGATCTATTTAGACTTCTATTAATAAAGTTAATTAAGAATCTAAGTAGAGCTAATACTAGCTTAATAAATTTTATAAAATCTATTAATAGTAAAATAAAATTATAGTTTTAAGAGAAATATATTATATTTTAGACTAAGAAAAAAAGATATCTATAGATATTATCTATTCAAAATAAAAATACTATTAAAATATAATTTATATCTATAGCTAAATCAATTATATATTGTCAGCTGCCCTAATCCTAAAGCGGAATAGTCTTAGGGCTGGCTTTAGAGAAGATAAAAATAGAATAGTATAGATTGAATAACTAGATAAGATAGAATAGACTTGAAGAGATCAAATGAATGAATAGGAAATCTGACTATCTGATAATCAGATAGTTGGTTGATGATCTGCTTGAATCAAAAAGATTATTTAGTAGATATCTGCTTTTAGGCCTTATTTATAGACAATTTTTAGGCCTTGCTTTTGGTGAATGATTTCAAATCAATATAGAATTAGTGAATTTGTCATTATGACTAATTCTGACTAATTCTTGATTTTTAATGATTTCTAATGATTTCTAATGATTTATAATAAAATATTAGAAATCATTCAAAGTTATGAATCATAGATTCCTTCTAGATTTTGATTGAAAATAAGATTTCAATCTAGTCCAAGAAAGGCAATACTATAGAAGCTTTCTAGAATATTTCCTATTTAGGAAATATTCTTTCAATTTCATTCAGTATTACCTAATAAGGAAATATTCTAGAAGAAATCTAGAATATTTCCTAAATAGGAAATTTCACTCCGACATATATTTATTAGATATTTAGTTCACTCAAATATTTAATCTCAAAGATACTCAGTTTATATAAAAAATATTTATTAAATATAGTTAGTAAATTAAGAATATTAATAGTAGATATAATAAAATATACTAAATTTAAAAAAATAAATAATGTAAATAGAAATAAAATATATTTATCACTATAAAATAATACTTTTATAAAGTTAGTTAATTTTAAGAGCTATTATTTAATAATATTAAATATCTCTACTATAGAGATATTTTTTGTAATAAAGTCTCTGAATATATCGATATATCTATACTATCTAATAAAGATATTACTGATAGTAATAATAATTCTAATACTAGTAATAAATCCCAGTCCAGTAATAACTTAGATAATTTAGATACCAATAATTTAAAGAAAAAATAGATTTATTTATAACTATATAATTTTATAAATTTTATAATTTTATAAGTAGAAAGTTTTTATATTTTTCTTTACTTTTATATTTTATATTAATAACTGTGAGGGTACTGGTCTTGTAGAAAGATAGGCTAATATTATATATATTATATATTCTGCCATATATAACCGATACAGTATATCCGCGCCCTTACAGCACTTAGAAAATGGCAACTTACTTATGATCTGACAAGATTATCAATTAACTATCTGATTATTAGATAGTCAGATTTCCTATTTATTTATTTGATCTCTTTAAGTCTATTCTATCTTATCTAGTTATTTAATCTATACTATTATTCTATTTTTATATTCTCTCAAGCCAGCCCTAAGACTATTCCGCTTTAGGATTAGGGCAGCTTATAACTATTAATAAATTAAGATACTTTATTAAATAATCAGAGTAATATATTAGTATGAAATATTGTCGGAGTGAAATTTCCTATTTAGGAAATATTCTAGAAAGCTTCTATAGTATTGCCTATTTTAGACTAGATTGAAATCTTATTTTTAATCAAGGTCTAGAAGGAATCTATGACTCGTGACTTTGAATAATTTCTAATAATTTATTATAAATTATTAGAAATCATTAGAAATCATTAAAAATCAAGAATTAGTCAGAATTAGTCATAATGACAAATTCACTAATTCTATATTGATTTGAAATCATTCACCAAAAGCAAGGCCTAAAAATTGTCTATAAATAAGGCCTAAAAGCAGATATCTACTAAATAATCTTTTTGATTCAAGCAGATCATCAACCAACTATCTGATTATCAGATAGTCAGATTTCCTATTCATTCATTTGATCTTTTCAAGTCTATTATATCTTACTTAGTTATTCAATCTATACTATTCTATTTTTATATCCTCTTAAGCCAGCCCTAAGGCTATTCCGTTTTAGGATTAGGGCAGCTGACACATATTCCTCAAGCTTCTTGGCTATCAGCTCAAAGTAAAGAGAGTATTTATATGCTGAATCAGCTCACTTGTGTTGGGAGTCAATTCCAGTTGTATAGCGGGTAGTAAGCTGATTATTATATTTCTTCAAAAATCGAGTTAGTCACTGTTTTCCAGACTTCTTTCCAGTAATTTCCTTAGCGAAGTTTTGTAGCATCTTAAGTATAGGGGGGAGGCCTTTATCAGTTAGATTATTGATCTATTTTATAAGCGTTTTGGTCTGCTTATTATTGAGGATTTGTTGATCATTATATTGCTCTGCTCGAGTATGTTGTACACCACGATGTTGTCGAGATAGTGTAGACCTGCTTATACCATATTTTTTGGCAAATTTTGTGTAGTTTATCTTTTCTCCTGGTTTTAGGCTTTCGATCTCAGCTATCGCTGCCTCAATTGAAGCCATATTGGCAGAGTTATGATGGTTTGAAAAGTATCGAAAAGTCGGTGTATATCAAAAAATCGGGCGTCAGGTGATCAGATACGGTAGGGGTTAAGAGTCAAGACCCTAGGTTATTTATTCTGTTATAATTCTAATATTATTTCCCTTATAATTTTGAACATAAACCCCACTACAGCTATATCCTGCTACTCACTGGCCTCCTGTGCCAAAGGCATACTGCCAGATGATTACTGTATACTGGAAGAGCGCTTACACTCCAGGACCCACCCCCGCGACGTAGATCATAGACTTCGCGGCAGGTTTAATTAACCAAGATAGCTAATTGGTCGCAGAGTCATTAGGCAAAGTTCCGGGTGCAACAAGATTTAGACGACTTGAAGAATACAAATTGACATTACACTGCCTAGCAAGTGCTGCCCCTTAACACTCACTCGTCACTCAAGTCACTCAACACAGTACTCGTGAAGGGACAGGTAACAACATTGTGGGGCGGCAATCCACAGTAGGCCTCGAACTAAATGGCCCCTTTCTCCCCGCATGGAATCTTTCGGCAATCGCGAACCCCGCATCTGTATGAGCAACCATGAGGTCATGAGTCCCCCGTCTTGGCTTAGCTTGCTCACTGCTCAGTGGACAAAACAGGTCAAGTACGTATGTATAGGCCGCATCGAGAATTGGACCCTTCCCTATTACATGACTGCTGGCATATGGTATGCTACCCATCCAATATTAAATATTTCAACCCTCCTTATCGGATGATTGTGACTGTCATTGAGATCCACTGCTATAGCTAGCAGCAACCAACCTAATAAGAGTTCACTGATCGTATACCGTCACACCTAATAATCTGGATTATTGGTGAATGGTGACCTCGTGTCATACAGGCTATTGAGGTATGCACATAACTCCTGTTACTTTTGGAATGGTTCTTTTAGTAAGACCTCAGCGTGCATAGAACTTGTGCTTCGATGTTGTTGTATGCAGCAGGGTTCGATAATTTCCTGGATCCTCATTAAATTTTCAAACACTGTTTATAACTCATTTTCTTGAATCCCCTCGAACTTGTGTAGCGAGTGGGCGTGATACCCCACGAGGGAGGAGAGCCCCTGTGTCAAGTCATCCCGTGATTGCTTTGCAGTCTGCTCTTGACCCCGCTAATGTGCTCCTACCTTTTAGAAATCTCGCTTTGTTCCGGTGGGTGTATTGATATCTAGAACATAGGCAAGCGTTTTCATAAGTGAGTTTATCACAACCCTGCCTTCTAAAATCGTTGGAGACCAAGTCCCATACTATTTGTTACTAAGCACCTGCCTATATCGCTGACCCGTCTCCAGTGACGCGCTCTCACAAACTAAACGATCGTGACCACTGCGTACTTCATGATGGAATAGCTGTATCCCAAGAGCATCTTCCTCGCTACTTTGCAAAATCTGGCCCCGTTGATGCCGATCCACGGAAGACGAAGAAAGATGGCGGGGGAAAGAGAAATTGGTGAGATTTCGTTCTTTCTTTTTTTTTTTTTTTTTTTTTGGCTCATCCCCGCCAGTCGAGTTTTGATACCTAACTAAATGACTCACTAACCGTATACTTAGGGGTCGGTCGGGCGACGAAGTCCATGACTATGATTACACATTCACAAATGCTCGGCGCCATTCCAATAGTAGCACTCAAGGAATAGCGGATTTTAAAACCAAGTTTGAGACGATTGAGCCAGAGCCTGTGTTCGAAGAAAGCTTCCATGGTGTGCAAAGTGAAGAAAGATCTGTGGATGGAAACAATGTGCTAAATCTTGACGGAGCCGCTAGCCCCGATAAGACACTGGTATAACAGGGCCATGGACTGTGTCCCACATGAGCGTTGGCACTGTTGTAGCTATTTTCATCGAAGCCCCTAGTAGTAGATAGTGCGCAGGAGATTTCAAACTCATTGTGAACAAGAGCAATTACTATTCATGATTCAGATTGTCTTCACAAGTGATGGACGATTAGATAATTAGCAGACACACGAGGGCCGTGATAACTAAATTCTGCCTCTGTATCCGGTCAAATTACATACAATAGGTGTAAGTGCATAATTGCGCTGACATAACTGTCCTAACTTGCTTAGAATCGTGCACATTGTGAGTCTAAAATAATGGAGCCCAATAAAAGGTCAAAGCCAGCTTAGCCGCGCCTTACTAGACCCCTCTTTTTGCTGCGGGGACCGCATCCCTTGCTGGTTATTGTTGTTGTTGTTGTTGTTGTTGTTGTTGTTGTTGTACTCTTCTAAAGGAAAAGTCGGGGGGATTGTGGTTGATGCAGACTCTTCTGCAGAGCCGAGAAGATTCTTGAACCAAAAATCAAGCCTTCCTTTTTCCACATTTTCATGTAGGATCTCATTCTCCTTCTCAAGATCATGTATGATCCGTGTCCGTTGCTCCAGTCGAAAGCGTGCCGAGAGAAGCTCGGAGTCCGATTCATTTAGAAACACATCATGTGGAGAGGTTGGAATGTACAGGGATGCGTAGCTAGCGTCTTCATTGTATCCTGCTAGCGGTGTTAGTTCATCTATTTACTGTAGGTGTCCCTAAAGCGAGTACTTACTGTCTCTAAGACACAGACCCAGAGTGCGGAAAAGGGCCGTGTCGTAAAGAAAGGGCTCGCTTTCATTGTCCATGTTCTCGGCTGCCCTTCCTGAAGCCACCCAATTATCTTTTATCATACACCGTCGCCACACTAGCTTCTGCATAGTGATGTGGCTGAGTGAATCTTGTTGAGCATAAGTCCCGAGACGAATGACACGCAAGGCCAGGTAGAACTCTTTCCCGGATAATTCTGATTGACCATATTTTGATGCTTGGTCAGAATCCATCAATGTCAATATATCGACCAATTGGTGAATATCAATGATTTGCCTTGTGACAACTTTAGTGAGGGCTTCACTAAGTAGTTCATGTAGAGAAGGCCTATCCTCAGTAATCCTTTTTCCAAAGTGGTCAATGGCTAGGTCAACCTCGGCTCTTTGATCAATTGCACCCTGTAAGGCCGGGGATATATAGGCGTAAATGAGTTCTTGGACGGCATCTATTTCAGAGAGATCTTCTAGATGCCGTATCTCGCTGTGAAAACTCGAATGGCTCGATGTACTGGTCTCCTCCCATGTTGCTAGTTTGGCAAGTTTCGCTAGGGAAAGTTCGACACGATGACTCCATAAATCAGATTCCCCCCTTATTGCGAGTTTTTCCAGCGACTGAGCGGCGGCGCTGTAGTCATTTTCACCAATCACATCATTAACCCAACCCAGTCGCGAATAGGCTGCATCCTTACGCAAAAATCGAGTGATAAAAGGTTGGAATTTCCTCATGGCGAACAGTATTCCCGACTGACGCATCGATATCTGCCGGGTAAAAAATGCATTTGCCCATGATTCCCCGAATTTTTCAAAGTAAAGAGAAATTTTTTTGTTGAGATGATCTGAATCACAACTGATATGATCTGAGGTATCGTTTCGGGAATTTGGGGGTAGAATTTCGCTCTTTGTTTGATCTTGAAGTTCAATAATGAGTTCTACCAATGCACTCATATCTCGAAATTTTTCCGCCAACGTAATGGCATCCTCTAATCTTCCAATACCAGCAAGTTTGAAGAGTCGCCACTTGCGTAGTTTAACATGGGCCTGCTCGGTAGCGATGCCCTCATCGACCAGTTTGGGGTCCTCCTGGGCAGAAAGCCACCGGACCCGCTCATAATGCATTTGGCCTAGGACATAGAGTTGTCTGGCAGCGTTGCCCGCAATTCTTTTCACTGTTAGGCTCTCGGGAGCTTCGATGACAGATGTTGCTTGTTGAATCCAAGCCCTGCAACTATCAAGTTCCAGATCCAACAAATGGCCCGTTTCAACGTAACTAAAATTTTGAGACGTCCAGAATTCTGGTAGACCTTTGAAGCCGGTAACTAGTAAGCCATCTTCGAGATATCCGTCACGAATACCATACCGACTAGCGTGCTCATCACGGAATCTAAATGCGGTCTCCAAGACTGCCAAAGAAAGCTCACTTGCTTCCAGTATTTGTTCCGACATCTTTCGTCCTTGTCTCGACGAGTGCCCTTTCTTTGGCTTAATGGCATTGAAAATCCATGGAACAACATGCTCCATCTGGAATGTATCATAGAGAAACCAGTTGCGGACGGAATCGATTTCGCCGTCTTGCTTCTCGACTCGTGTCTTAAATTTGTCACTCATCAAGTTGATAACGTGGGCAAGAAAGGTCGGCCCCTTGCCCTGTAATTTCTTAGAGCTTTCTTCTATCTTCCACATAGCCCTCTGAGCCGCAAGTTTCTCCGCGCCCCATAATAACTCCCACCAAGTTTGCTGATCCAATGACTTGTTTTGATGCATCAAAAGGCATGCCAGATCATCCAAAGCTTTTGCTCTCGATCGTAGATTCTGTTCTAAGGATATTGCTGTCACTGGGATAAACTTTGACCTAGATTGGAGCAATTCTCTGCAAATCTCCAACGCGGCTTGCTCGATATCCATGACAGAGAAATCCAGGCTACTCTTGTTGTTCAAATTCAGTGGGTTTCCAAGCATGGTACCATAGAATATGGCTTGCTCAATCTTTTGCTTAGCAGTAATTCGAACACATTCAGTGGTGGAACACGAGTTGTGGTGTGGTAAAGCTGTAATGCGGATGATACCAAAATCACGGACCATTATCAGACATGCGGGACAGTTTTCATCGCTTTTGTCCTCAAAGCCACTGCCTAGAATTTCAAAGGCTTTTCCTGAGCGGAAGCTGATAGAGTCCTGGAACGCGCGCGGTTGTTGATGTTGCGCGGACTTGTCTTTCCCTGGAGTCAAGGATAAAAGTACAACAGAGTGATCCATTAAAACGAATGCCGTATCACCGGGCTTGGGAAGATACAGTTTCGGTTTTGAATCAAGATCCGTCGAGACCCCATGGAGATCAATAGGGTGGGTAGACAAGATATGGACTTGCTCTGCTAGATTGACTTGCACAAGGGACATGCTTTGCGAGCCCATCTCAGTCTGAGTTACAAGTAGCAATAAATGCCAGGATGGTACCGACGCGCTAGCTCGTAGCCCACCAACGTTCGATCCAGCCGGCATGAGTGCAAAGTCCAAGATCTTGATGTTGGAGTCATCAGATCTGTTAGAGTCCTCCGTATCAAGATGATTGCATAGGTCATTTGTTATATCAAACTGTTTCTTCAATATACTGCCGTTATTCCAATGCGTGTCCCAGATTTCAAAGAGACCGCCTGACGTAGCGATTATGATGTCTCGCTGGCCACGTTGATGAGAATCACCAGCTCTGACGGCAGCTAGGTCTTTCCTTGAAAACCCTCCACCCAAGACATTTCTAATGCCACCGAAAAACCCAATCCTACCAAGCCCAGACGCATTTCGCAGGAAATAAACAGTCACTGTCGGCTTTCCTTGTGGATCCCGAACGGTGATATGAGCAACCCTCCCTGATGATAATGTGACTATAATACCAGAAGGCTCACCATTCACGAGATCTGTAATGTGTTCACCTGAGAGAAGATTAGGTATACATCCCTGGATGGCCTTCTGCTTCTGCCTGGCCAGGCCCAATGATGCAGCACATGAGACAGTTTCCCAGTATATAATCTTCCCAGTATCAGGAGAGATGATCATCAATCCTGGAATCCCAGCTGTTACACTGGATAGTAAGATTCCAAGAGGAATTGGCCCATTTGGCTCCCTGAAAGGTTCGGGTATGGAAATAGTGAACACATCGGCGGGTGAGGGTGAGGAAGTAGCAATTGAGTATGGCCAGATAATTGCATGGGAATGCGTTATGGCTAAGGCGTAGCAATTGCCAGCACCAAATAAGCATTTATAGGATCCTGTATCTTCGTGTTAACAATATGAATCGCGAAGAAATGGGCAATACTTGCCTGATTGTAGTCCGCGGATCTGATCTGGCAAGGTCGGTAATTGCAAAACACTGTAAAAGTCGGTTTTGGACTATGCGTGATAGCGTCAGCGAACCGTCTTTTCAACTCATGTAGGAGAGCCATAGTTTGACCAAGCACAACTTACGAGGACAATGGTCCCGTCAGCCTCGCCTCGCCTCTCTGGCTTCTTTGGACCTCTAATTGGCATGCTCTCCTGGAAAGTAACATTGTCTGCGGTTTGGGGCTCAAGGCCTTGGGAAGCAATAGTTGTTGAGCAACCCTCATGTTCGTGCAGCTCGTTTGGATCCTCTGAAGGGATGTCTGATCTACCATGACGCAAAATGGACCGTTGCCTTTTAGCTTTGGGGGCGTTGACCGGTTCATCAGAGCTTGTACGTTGGCGCCTTCGAGGATTGCGCAAGGACGATGCCGACGAGATCGCGGCTTTTGGCAAGAACATTGTCGGAGCTACTCAGAAAAACATGAATATGGCCACCGCAAAATCGTGTTGTATCTAAGCCATTAAGAAACGGAGAACTAAAGGAAGAGGGCAGGTATAATTTAGATAGATAAAGTACAATTTCTCGTATTGATAGGTAGTATCATTGTCAGAGATAATTTGTTGATTGATTATGTAGGCGGTCAGCGCTTTAGTCACTGGATGGATCACGTGGTATACAGTTGCGATTACTAGCTGTTGCTTAGATTTTAGTCCTTGGTCAATGTAGTTGAGAGTTAAATACATAGGTCTCTCCTATGCCTCACAATGCTTACATACTATACTATTAGTGTTTCCATAAGACCCCACAGGGTTACGCTTCTCGATGACTTTTAAGATGTTCTCTGCCCCTAGCTCAAATTATACTTTGTATATAAAAAGTACCTTGCATCATGTGTCATACCGGTCATTGTTCCTCATCAGATACCAAAGAAGATGGTATACTGTTTCCAGAAAGGCTACCTTACGCACAGCTCTTTTCTTCCCAGGTCCGGACCAGCCAGCCTCCTACCACAGGTTGCCATTTTGGCTAACGGTTTGTTAGGTCATGGAGTACAGCGCGTAGGAATGGTGTCTTCATGGATCAATAGCTTTCCAGACATCGCTGGGAGTGTTTTAGATGAAATGGATAGTGTATTGGGGTTTCGGCTTTCTCGTGTTATTGCCGAAGGACCGAACTCAGAGCTGAACAAGACCGAGAATTCTCAACCTGCTATTATGGCGACATCAATATTGATCCTTCGAATCTTAGAACAAAAGTTTGGCTTCGATACGAAATCTCGTGTGGATGTCACCCTTGGTCATAGCCTTGGGGAGTTCTCTGCACTGGTTACTGGGGGCTATCTTGATTTCGGTGACGCTCTAAAGCTAGTCCGACGGCGGGCAGAGATCATGGCCGAATGCACTCGAGAAGCCACCACGGAATCTGGCGAGGATTATGGAATGGTGGCACTCGTCTGCGAACCTGATCATCTTGACGGTTTGCTCGCAGCAATCCATGAATTCCTGGGCCTGTCATCAAATGGTATGAAAGATGATTTAAATTACGGAATGCCGCCTATTGAGAAAGTGATGGTGGCAAATATCAATTCTAAAAATCAAATAGTGTTGAGCGGAAGTATTGAAAGGATAAGAACACTTCTTATCCAACTTCGCCAGTTTGGAGGTCACGATCCACGTGCAGTGAGATTGAACAGTGAAAGCCCCTTCCACAGTCCCATAATGATGCCTGCGGCAGAATATATGATCCGTGCTCTTGACAACATCAAACTCAACTTCCCAGCACATATGCCGTGTGTTTCAAATGTTTCTGGTCTTCCGTTTCGCTCAGAAGAGGAACTAAAGAGGCTACTTTCACAACAGTGTGTTGATACCGTGCGATGGTGGGACAGTATCAGGTATCTAGACCAAGAGAGGGGTGTAAAGCGTTGGGTTGGCATTGGGCCCGGGAAAGTCGGCAGGAATCTGGTTGGAAAGGAGGTCGGTAAGGTAATGGCTAAAGGAGGTGGTGTTTGGGCAATCTGTGATCCTCGCGAGCTTGAAGATATCGTCAGGAGTCTCGAACAGACTGAATTTGAAGCTTTGTGTGATTAACCCGTTACAGGCACAGGTATGCTCAGACTGGTGGATTCATTGCTGTCAATTAACTATTTTGATAGCACTTACACAAGCAGCGATAGTACGGCAAGGGCGATTAATACTTTTCAATTGTCCCATAAATTAGTGGTCTCAGAAGTTCATCTGTGCCATTGCCATGAAAATGATAGCGACATCTTGCAACTTCTTGGCATTTCGAGATTAACAAGTGTGGACTAAGTAAATCAGGCCAGTAAGATTAAAGCGGCACATAGTCTGCCTCACTGACTATTAGAGGTTATGTCAAACCATACTGAACATTTAACACCTGCGAGTGATTATGAGCCACAGTTACTCCTTTCACATACCTGGAGAGTTGGTCTCTACCATAAGCTTGGGCCACCGCATCGTTTCAAGGTATAGTCGTATCTGGTGCCCATGTTTCACCAATATGCCTGACCTCCGCAATGAATTTGTGGTCTGTAATTTGCAACGAATTCGATGCAGGGGCAGCAGCTTTGATTGTAGGGACATGATCATCTGGAAAATAGAATGGGTTTTGCAAAAGCCGGATATAGGCTGTTTGCAAGGCTCGGAAAACCTAATAGTTCACTGTTAATTTGGGCTTTTACGAATGTGTTGAAACCAAGAAAAGCATATTCGACATAGACCATCCGAGACAAGACTTACTGGTTTCAGGTCTGGATCTTTGGAACCAGTCCTCGGAAATCCTTTTTGTTTCTCGATGCTGTTTGGAACCGGTTGTCCGATCAAATCAATAATGACCAGTAATTTTACGCCAGTAGTTGTTAGCCAACCATATGCTGCTAGTTTTTCATCGACGGCGTGCAAGAGGCCTAGGTCTTGATCGACTGAAGTTTGCTTCTGCCGTATCTCAAAGATATCGAGACAGGAGTTCAATAAGAACGAGAATTCAATAGTAGAGTTCACGTAAGGGGGGAAAAGCGAGATATGCAAAGGGTTGTCCTTCTAGAGCATTAGTATGTCATCTTGAACGAACCATAGTCATCGTACAGCCTTTCCAATTATACCGATGCAAGCAATTTTCGGTCCTGACATTCTGGAGATATATATCTGTAACTAGAATGATCCACGGCGGTACGGAATTGTGTTTATCTCCGAAGGCATTCGAGTTAAGGGAGACTTCACTTGCGCAAATTTGGCTTCTCACCGGGTTGGGAAGTACTGCCAGTACATAGCCTGAATGAACAAGTTACATACAACCCAATGGAGTACAAGTGGGTAAGGGGTACAACACACCTGGTAGTGTAGATAAGATACCTAGATTGGGTACAAGATGGTATTTAAAATGACCCAATGATGTAGTTTAGAATTTAACTTACCTACCTGATAGACACCTAGGCTGATACATCTTACAGTACTGTACGCGAAATGAGCTCCCGATGCACCATTTCTTGGTATAATTTCTGTATTATAACAGTAAAGCAAAGGCTAGTGTACCATTAGTGCAGAACCGTCAGTCCAGAGCCGCAACGCTTCGCCTTCTGGTATCATAATTACCACCAGCAAGCGACATTCTGAAGTCGTTGCAACATCTTTCGGCACTCAACCCAAGGATCTTCACAGGGAACCTCATAACAAAACTAGCTACAGCTGCCATGCTTCCTTTATCTGCGCGCACCCTTCCGGGTGCTCTTTATGGTGAGCAATTATCTGCCTGCGAGTCTTTTGAGCTTCGCTCATGTTAAGCAGCACGACCACGCTTGATCTCATCGATTCCTCGAATCCAACTAGTTGCACATATGTCAACTACTCCAAATAAATCAGCCACAGCGCTTGAGCACCAAGGACATTCCGGCCTGCCGCTGACTGCCTCTGGAAAGATACGGAAGGAGGTACCTCTACCGAGCCAGGAGAAGAAAGAGGGTGCGATGCAATATGTGCTGTTTGTGTCCCTAAAGGATTGGAAATTATATACGTGCCTAACGTTGTACTTAGGACTACCTTGGATCAAGTTGCGAATTGGGCACGTCAGAGCTCTCTTTGGCCTATGACTTTTGGTCTCGCTTGCTGCGCTGTCGAGATGATGCATCTGTCTACCCCGAGATATGATCAAGATCGCCTAGGAATTATCTTTCGAGCCTCTCCCCGCCAGTCAGATGTCATGATCGTAGCTGGCACGTTAACGAACAAAATGGCACCCGCTCTTAGGCAGGTTTATGATCAGATGCCCGACCCACGTTGGGTTGTTAGCATGGGCAGCTGTGCAAATGGTGGTGGCTACTATCATTACAGCTACTCCGTTGTTCGTGGGTGCGATAGGATCGTCCCTGTTGATGTTTATGTTCCTGGATGTTCGTTTACACCCGTAACTATGGTCTCGTGATTTTTATGAACATTTGCTGACCGCTAATCCGAAGGCCCACCGACCTCCGAGGCATTGATGTACGGAATCTTTCAACTCCAGAAGAAGATGAGGCACACCAGAATCACACGCATGTGGTACAGACGCTAGATCTTTGGTATATGTTCTATCCTCCTATTCGAACCCAAGGGCTCAGTTAAGGTAGATGTAAAATTAAAATCATTTCTGTTGGTCAATAAGGCAGGCTAGTTGCTATCCATACTTACAACTATTACTTTGTTAGCTAAAGTTCTTTTACTGCTTCTGTCATACTACTGTATGTCGTGAAGGTCCCGTTTAATTATATAGATGTGGGTGGATATGTCTTTTTTCCTGCTTTGTCTCGAGAGCCACCCCTTCAGCCGAGCCCTTACCTGGCTACCCATTAACAACAACACCTCCATTGGGATGCAAGGATTGCCCCGAGATATAGCTGCTATCTTGGCTTGCTAGGAAGACAAAACAAGTAGCCACTTCACTGGGCTGCCCTGGACGGCCCATTGGCACACTACTGAATTCATCCATTGCAGAACTAGTCATCGTTGAAGGGATCAGAGGTGTCCAGACTAGATAGCAGTTAGTTATCATGCAGTTGTTAGCTGGGGCTAAACTCACTTGGGCCAGGACAAACACAATTCACCCGTATACCTCTTCCAACTTGTTGGTTAGACAAGCCCCTGGTGAACGCAACGATTGCACCCTTGGTTGCTGTGTAGTCAAGGAGGTCAGGTCGACCGATATATGCGTTGACAGACCCACAATTTATTATAGTTGAGCCACTTTTCATGTGCGGAAGCGCGTACTTGGAAAGGTAGAAGAATGGATGGATGTTAGTGTCGAATGTACGCTCCCACTGATCCCTATTAGTTGTATATCAGTTCTGATGATTTTAACACCGGGCGCAGCGAAAGGGAGCTTTCCACTCACTCTTCAAGGCCACTAATATCCCCAATCATGTTCTGAAATCCTGCATTATTCACCAAAATGTCTATGCCACCCATACATTGCATGGCAGTATCAACCACTTCTCGACAACTCTCCTTCTTGCGGACATCCACAGCCAAGCAGTGACAGTCATGTCCTATGCCCTGGACCCTTCTCTTTGTCTCTTGTGCGTCTTTTTCCTCTTCTGGCAAGTAGACAATCAAGCTAGATGCTCCTTCCATTGCAAACAATATAGCAATGGCACGGCCAATTCCAGAGTCACCACCTGTGATGATGGCTCTTTTCCCAGCAAGCTTCCCCGCTGCCTTATACGTCGTATAATCGCCTTCCTCGGTCGGTATGTGGGTTGAAACCGGCTTTGGGTCCTCCAGCTCTTCTTGTAGCCCGGGCTTCTTCTGATGTTGAACGGGGATTTGATGACCTGGGATAACCGATAAATACATAGTTCGATACACTCCGTGAAGGACAGACCTACCTGTTTGAAACTGGGATTCAGTGCCGCGGGCGGCTCTTTCTGTGTAGACTTGCATGATTTAGACTGTTACTTGGCCGTAAGGTGCTGGCTAGGTAAGGTGCGAAGGTACAGAAGGAGAGCTTGCTAACTAGCGATGTTTGGAGCTACCTGCGTCTATTACTGAGTATATTCACAGCTACCATGCAGCATTAAGTATCCTCGACACTACTATTTAGTCAGGCTAATAACTTCGTCAGAGTGACGTCTCCTCGACGTACACTGGAGATCTGTCGCTTCCACCCTCTCTTTCGTCTTCGCTGCTTAACACATCTCTTCTTATTTGTTTGCTTGAAGTACTTCAGAACCTGCACGTCTTCCAATTTTCATTTCATTACAAGGTTATATAGTTGTGACGAAAAGGGGTTTGAAGGAGTCTATTTTCGGTGCATGTGAGAGTGGCGTTCGAACCAAGTTGAAACTACCCCACGACTAAGTACATCTACACGGTATACTGCAGTGTCTATGTGGACGCTGCCTGGTACTTTCTATGTAAATATTTCCCTTCGACATTCTTGACTGTGATTTATCACGCTTAATACCAAGCTCCAGTCAGCCCAATCACTGCGTAGTATATATATGGTATCAATTTCCCATGGTGTTACTCCGAGCAAAGACAGTGTACCAAGTGAACTAACATTATGGATGGTGATTCATTTTTGATCTACCATCAAAGCATTGCACAGCGACTTGACAACAGAAGGATGACTACTGAATAGGTAAGACGTCCAGAGTATATAGTGCTATTACTAGTGTAAAGGAAATGAATTAGAATCGATCAAAACGAATTAGAATCGATCGAAATGTAAAGAAAAAGTGACTGGAAAGTGAGATTAGACTGATTAAGAGCTCTTCTTGGAGTAGGATTGATGGAAATCTAATGCTTTCTAATCTTCTGTAAGTAATTATTGTTATTTTAATCTGAAGCTATCTAAGGCAGAATGAAATCTCACTCGGCTGACTAATATCGCCGCACTAGGTAGGTACGGAGTAATCCGTACCCCAAGTTGGTACGATACATGTCTAGTTTGGCGCTCGTCAACGGTATGTATCGTACTGTACTGTACATACTTCATCATGAATCTGTCCTGGTATGTACGTACCTCCATACTATCTCTTTTCCTAGACTAGGCCATCCTTTCTTGATAAGTAATCCTTTCATATAGCCTATTGACAAGGTTGGTAAGATGAATAGTTCAATCTAGTCTCAAAGACAGTTCAATAAATTGCCCACTACCAAGATTCTGTAAACAAGCCACTATTCTATACTGTAAAATGTGTTTATGTGACTGGTGGCCAATAGTGTATTATTGCAATGATAATTTATCTGTAGATCTATTAGTATAAGGACTGTAAGTAGATTACCCTATAGTGACGATATATCTCTGCCGCGGCCCTAAGTAAAAGTGTCTATAGTTAATTTATATGTAGTAGATATAAAGAACTGAAGTGGTTGAGGTAGGGCGCGGTATAGTAGAGGCCAGGGGCTGGAGCGGCCGATAGGGTATTCAAACATCTCAATACTCCGTACCTTATTGAAAAAAATAGCTATGTATACAGAGTACTTACCGGAAACATAATCTTAACTCGAGTCACCTTTGTATAATTCACTAGATATGCAAATTGTCAACCGGAGAGCGCGTTGAGGCACAATTTCAACAACTAATGCGAATGGTGGAGGCAGAAAGCTGGCCAGCAACGCCAACAAATGTTCTTAGCACGATAAGTATTCATACTTTTAGAGAGTTCATCGATGTGCTCAGTAGATCTCTTCATCAGTCCACATATAAGCAGTAAACTATATAAATATAAGAAACCTGGTATCGTTTATGGATAGCGCGTATTACAACATTGCCACTAGTATCTTAAGGCACAAGTACATAGTGCGGAGTACGGAGTACTAATAATCCATTTATCTGTTTTTCTTTATTTTCCTTTTTTTTTTTTTTTTTTTTTTACCGTCCCCTCATACTTCAAGTGGTTAAACTGTAATTGATCAAGATTGAATGGATTTGCAATTAAATCAAAAAGGATCAAATCATTTTCATCTCTTTCTACATTGAATACATACGCTCTGTATCCACTCAATCGAACCATTTACATATTATTTATTCGTTTTGCGGCAATCTGGACCGTCACGGTGCCATGGCTGGTTTTGCAACGGATCCTACTCTTAACGCAGAATTATCTGCTCCCTGGGCGTTTCTACGCCCTACAGCACAATTAAACGACACCATAGTAGGATCGGCAAAATATTTCCTGGACCCTCTCGCTCTTTCGATTAGTGACGCCCAGTCCGCCCGCCAACGACAGAATAGGAAACGCAAAAGATGCGAGGCAGACCTAGAAAGAAACACCGAAGTATTGCAGTTAAAGCAGTTGTTCGTTGAGGGATTTGGCTCCGATCAGATCTGGGAGCAAGCACTTAGAATCCTTGACTCTGCTGGACAGGAAATCCAACGCGATTGTATGTTAAGTCTTCGACATGCTGACCACCCTGTATCGGAGGAACACTTTACATCTTTCGAGGGCTCAGATTTTGAGGATGAAAGTACCGAAAGCAGCGAGCTGGGCAGTCATATAGAGGGTACCAGGAGCTTGTCAGATGTTGATGAGAAAGGCAGTATGGCGTCAGAAGATCTAGGCGACTCGGCACATGATGCATCGGACTCCCAGAGTATTGACGAGGCCTTGGACGAGGAAAGTGAATCCAGTGAAACTGGTAGTGATGGAGAACAACCCGAGACGTACAAAGAGGACCCTTTTGGGTTGAATGATGGATTCTTCTCAATTGACGATTTCAACAAACAATCCGAACAGTGGGAAAGACAAGACGCCCGGGGCGGCCCAGATGATGATTCTGAAAGTGATGAAGAAGTTGACTGGCATGCTGATCCCCTCGCCACTGGGAACACTAGCGCTTCTTTAAAGAAAAAATCACCGTCAAATGAGACCAATAGGAGTGTCGAGGATAAAAATATGGATGATGACGACGCAAGCGATGAGGAAGGACCAATATTCAACAATGTCAACCTTCAAGATGGGCTAGATTCAGATACAGACGATGCATATCCTGGTACTAACCAAGAGGCGGATTGGGTCAATACTAGTGATATTAAGTATTCTGACTTTTTTGCGCCGCCACCTCGCAAGTCTACGACCAAAAGGTCACGTCCGCTCCCGAAAACTCAGCCAGTTGCTGCAATTAATAGTAACGATATAGACCGTGCAATGGCCGATGTACGACGTGATTTATTCGAGGATGATGCTTCAATTGCGAACAGTGATGTATCCGATGGTGAACTAGGTGAACCTGAAACCCAGAAATCTACACACGAGAAACAACGCGCACGGATCGCCGATGAGATTCGTCGCCTGGAAGCTGCCAACGTTGCAAAGAAAGAATGGATGCTTGCTGGCGAAGCTAAAGCCGCTGAGAGACCCGTGAACTCGCTTATTGAGGAAGATCTTGAAGTGGAAAGAATTGGAAAGCCTGTCCCTGTGGTTACCGTGGAGGTCTCCGAAGACATCGAAGGCCTTGTTAAGCGTCGGATACTTGCCAAGGAGTTCGATGAAGTTATCCGTCGCCGCCCTGGTATCACTGATGGCCAGGTTGGGAGAAAGAACCGCTTTGAGCTTGAGGATTCTAAAGCTCAACAGGGCCTTGCAGAGCTATATGAGACTGATCACCTCAGAGCTACTGATCCTAACTATGTGGATCCTAAGAATCAGAAACTTACGCGCGAGCACGCTGAGATCAGTAGTCTATGGAACGAAATAAGTTCACAATTGGATGCCCTCTCGAACTGGCACTATAAGCCCAAGATTCCACACGCACACATCAACGTTGTTACTGATGTGGCAACTATTATGATGGAGGATGCGCAACCAACAGCTGGAGGTGCTGTTGGCAGTGCAGCAGCTCTTGCCCCCCAGGAGATCTATGCACCTGGGGCTGATGGTAAAGCTTCTGGGGAAGTGGTCTTGAGGAACGGATTGTCAATCTCCAAAGAAGAGATGACCCGTGAAGAGAAGTCAAGATTACGGCGACAACACAGGAAGCAAAAGAAATCTACCACCAGCGATAAAAACCGGCAGTCAGGAAAGGCAGCTGAGAGGCAACAAATCGTGTCGGACTTGAAAAAGGGTGGTGTGAAGTTGGTTGGAAAGCAAGGAGAAGTCACGGATATCCATGGCCAAAAACCAACCGGAACAGGCCCAAGGAGTGGTGCGGATGCACTTAAGCTGTAGCTGATATTGATATTATATGATCGTATGTACTAGTATAGGTATCCGAGGAGATCTTGATTTATACTTTATTTTTCAATTGCCGACGTACAAATATACCTCACTTAAACTCCTCCTAGCTTTATCCAGTTATCCGTCTCTCTTCATCCTTATAGACAGGCGTGCCCTATTTTGAACGTATTGAATATAGGAAAATATTTTCTCGCTTGTAAGTCTCTGCCATCGGGTCATCGCAGACCTCGACTATGTGAAATAGCTTCTTCGCTAATTTCATAAAACGGAGATCCGCCCGTCTACGTCTCTTGAAGCAGAAATAGCAAATAGATTCCGGGCCCAGGAGGTCTTTGAGAGTTGATATCAGCAAAGGAAAGGCCGGCTCAAAATAGACACAGTCCGCGGCAAGTACGATAGCGGGGTGTGTCGGAATACAATCTGGGAGAGACTCCCCCCAGTTTAGCACCGTGGCTGCAACGCGAGAGGAAAGATTGTTCAGCTTAATATTGGCCTCCATTAATGGGAACATTGGTGCTTGATCCGTAATGTATACCGATGACGACCCAATATCGCAACCGCGTGCAACAGCAAGCCCCACGAGACCTCCGCCAGCTCCCAACTCGACTCTAGTATTGCCAGTCAGTACCATAGACCCCTTATAATTCACTGGAACTTAGATGCCGGACGAACATGGTCTTATTGTTAAAGTCAGATCGGTGCTGATGTAACAAATATCTTGCTAGTACCATGCCTGCCGGCCATAGCTGGCCTCCGCATCCTTCCTTAAGATCTTCCTTGATTATTAGGGGTTCTTTCAGTAGGCCATCAAACGAAATTTCAGCGTGGCCAACTCTTTTGGGATCCCTTGCTGGAACAAGCGACTCGCTAATATCGAAAGACTCACTGAGCCCTGCTTGCTGGTCGGGTGAATTGGAACTTTCCATCATGCTCAATATGGAAGAATCACAAACAGATGGGGCTAGTAATAAGACTACACTCACACAGGAGCTGTGCTTTTTCCGTTTTCCGTCTCTGAAACGGGGAATATCGTTTGTAACAGGAAATAGAGAAAAAGGGAAGAACCAGGAGGAAGTAGATTAAATAGAGAAATAAGGTAAAAAAGCGGGTACCCAAGAAAGAAAATGGTATGAAAATTGGAAAAAATATAGCTTTATGGAATGTTTGTTGTGGTGGGTTAGGGCAGGAAAACACCGAATAGATTAAACACAAAACCTAGATAACTACTATCTATACTTAATGTTGCTTTGTAATAACATATATCCCAAATGTTATTTAAAACAAAAGGCAAGGGTGGAAGTAAGAATCAAGGTGTGCGTACGTACTGGTACATGTACTCCGTACTACGGAGTAAGTATCTATCAATGTTAGGTAAACTACTACTCCGCAGTACTAGTATCTACTAATAACAGGGTACAGCCAATGTAGTTCATAAAAGAGATACTTATACCGCCTTGGCATGCTCATTGTGATTAGCCTAGTTCTAATTGTATAGTTTACTGGTTCAAGGATAGCAACCTGAGATAGCACCCGATCCTGCATAGTAATTTCAATTTTTCACTAGCGGTATTGGTCTTGCATTAATTATTCTACCAGTATTTTCTCTCTTTAAACAAGAATAGTTCATGATTAGTAATCAACAACAGATTCTCAGCTTCTCTGAGTTGAGGTGTACTGAGTTGAATGAACGAGATCTCTTCAATGTCCCGTATCTAATAGGTGAGTTGTACCTCCACTTCTTTTAGTCTAGGCCTTCTACTACGGAGTATATCTCCTTACATAACCTGGAACCAAATGCCAATGTGGTCAGAAGATGTTCTAACTAGTTCAACGCCTAACACAAAAACTTAACAACTACTATCAAAGTACATCTAGAAAGTACTTATTCTATGATACAGACATATAGTCAATGGAATATCCTGCAATGGAACTCGCAACTTAGTGTATCTTGTTCAAAATGGCCCAGGCTTAGGTCACCTCTAAAGTATTCTAGAAATGAAAATCGTTTCCTCTCATCTGTCGGCTGACGTCATGGTGTTACCCCTCCCCACATTAACACATACTGTACGGAGTAGTACTAGTTATACTTAATTAAGGCGACCCTACTAAATAGTAGTACCCGCCGATCCAAGCAATGTCGGGTCATTGGCCCGCCAAACTACTAGCCATTGAATCCAGGTTCTTCTGTCCTTGGATCATGACGACGTCATTAAACGTCTGCATTAAATGATGGCAACAACATGTGACCTGTTCCCTGAGCTTTAGAAAAGGGCTGTCCTGTTCCACAAGTCAACCTTCTCAGAAAAGCATTTGGAACTGGTTGAGTTTCACTATAAGCTCAGATCGTCTCTATCAACAATCAGACCTTCAATTCGATTTCGACTGTAGGCTAGGCTCCTACCCGCACTCTTGACACCATGACGACTCTTCACTGTGAGTACTGACGACCATCTTCTCCTATTCTTCACTGCCGAATGCTAATCGATAATGACCAGATCTGCCTCCGGTGAAGCCTTCTGCTATTGCTATGGGCACGTTCTTCACACACACCGCGTCCTTGGGCATACTGGCTCCTGTCTTCGGTGACACTTACCATCGCGCCCAGGCCGCCAACACGAAAGAGGAATTCATCAAGTCTAAGGAGGCTGCCGGGGCTGCCGCAGCCTGGGGAAGCTCTCTAATCGGGAGTGCCATGCAAACTTATGGAGTGGCTGCTCTGATTAATGCAACCGGGACGCTGAGTTACAAGGGCGCGGCGTATCTGGGAAGTTTGATTTTCATGGCTAGCTCTGCTCCAAGTGTATGTGTTGTTTGTAATTCGGGTTATAAAGAAGAATTATTGTGCTGACATCAGATGATAGTTCATCAGCCAAATTTTTACCGAGAAGCGGCCTCTGGATACAGTTGCTGTAGGTGCTGTGAGCCGAGTCTTCGAGACAGTCGGGCTTAGTTTGTTCCTGACTTGGTGGGGTACACGTACGAATCCTTTTGATTAAGAATTCCTCTGCTATGTCTGAACATGATATTTGTTGGAAGGGCTATCCAACTTTGTAGCCACGGTTCATGGGTATACTTAGTACATGTTCTGGTGTCATTCAGGGTATTAATGTTGTAATGTGGAAGATAAAACACATGGAATCTGTAATTTAAAGCCACAAAGGACAATGCGATTGCCATGGAAACCATAGCTTGAAGTATCCAAGATATTTAAAGACTGGGATAAAGTAATCTTGGGGTACGGGGGTACCTGTTACTACCAATCTACCTTTCTTGATCTGGCTACTAAGTAACTAATAGTTATCTGTATCCTCTCCACCAGTAGCAGTTCGTCGCCTCCTAACGTTATGCAAATATGCATATATCCAACGCTCCAAAAGGAGAAAAGTAAAAATAAAAAACTAATACTCATAGAAGTGCGAACCATTAGTGCTGCCTACTTATGGAGTCTCATATACACTATTTATCGCCCCGAGTACGTTTTGGGTATAATAGTATAAAATTGAACAGCAGCAAGGGAGGCGGGAGTGTGGAAGGCAAAAAGAATGCGATGTAATATTCAATCTCTAACTCGAGTGCATCATCAGACAAATGTGCGGCAGGGATATCTTTTCCTAGTGGTTAGTTTAGAACACGCACGAGGGATTAGGTCAACTTACACATTGGAATAGCCATGATCATGATCAAGCTGATACTTGGAACCTGACGGGTTCATATTGCAAGGCTTCGGCGGCAAACCATTGGCCTTTAAGACACCCTGAAAACCCTTCTTATCCTTCTCAAAAAAGCTAGCCAGACCGCGTTCTTCTCCCTGCTGCTTGACTGAAATAATTTGCTTCTCTCCTGCTTCACCGATCTGTAGAATATCGTCCTTCGGTGCTGCCTGGCTGCCTACGGTGAGAAGACCGACAGCATCTGCTTGGCTCACAGTGCTAAGCTTAGGGTAACTCCTCCGAACATCACGCTTCCAATAAGGGTTGTCCGCAATATCACCGGCCGGAATGGTAACCGGGTCGTCATAGGAAAGAGGAGGAAGAGCTCCAGGGGTCGGTAGACGAAACTGGGCGTTCAATGGAACACCTGTTGAGCGATTGGGATCAATCGAAAGAAGGCGGCGAAGACGCTCCCAGATGCCGGTGGATTGAAGTGTGTATTTCTGGCAGGAATAGACGTTTAGATAATACCTTAGTCTGGAATGTATGTTAGAGCTCTTTACCTTGTGAACGGCGACGACATTCGATGCGGACTTCGCTGCCTTGAGAATCTCGCGAGCCATGATAAGATGCACTCTCTGTTAATGAATTAGCTTCAGGACCTTCTCAGAATAGGTAATCAATGAGATGGGGCGAAATAAAAAATAAAAAAAATAGGTCATTGTTGTTTTATACCTTCCCAAAGATAGAAATAGAACCCGAATGAATTAAGTCAATTGTCGTCCTGTGGTGAAATCGAGCTGTCGGGTTAGAAACGTCGCCGTGTACGGAACAACTATATTTCCGCCCACTGTTGCAGTCCGGCTGAGCCAATGGCGCGAGGGCTATTGGTGAGTACAAATTGAATACTGTAGATTAAATCAAATATAGTTACGACCACAAAGTTGGAAGGGAAACATAATTTGGAAAAGTCTAAACTGGGAATATTGTAAGAATGATTGATACCACTACTTGGGTTGTTTGAGCGGTTCGCCAAGCGTTACCAAATAGGCTAACATTGAGGAGCACTGCTCCGGAGAACTGGCAAAACACAATTTTACATACATTGTCTATTACAAACGAATGCTATGGGCTCGGCCGTAACCGTAGTCATTTGGTAGATAGCCACTTCGAAGGGGATAGAAACAACAAGTAGTCCTGCCTGTGTAGGTGCGGTTAATTCTGTTTCCCTATGGTTGCTGTCCTTCTGGTTGCCTTAGCTGGTGATTGAAGCTGTCAGATACCCGACTTTGAACCGTTACTACTGGAGTTCCTTGCAATGAATTGCCGCATAGCCTCCACTGTGGCATCTGGGCCACCACGCTGCAGTAGCAGAACAGTACCTTGCTTATCTACAGCGAAAATGCCCCTGGCTGTTCCTTTAGGTGCCTTTCTGAGCCCCAGAGCCGCAATCAGTGAGGATGCAGTATCACAGAGGAGAGGATAGGGCAGACGTTGTTTGGCTTTGAAGGTGGTGTTTGCTCTTGGCGAATCCGCAGACAGTCCATAGATGGAGAACCCAGTCGAAGTCAAATAGTCATAACTGTCGCGAAACATGCAGGCTTGCTTTGTACCTGGAAGATATATAAGCCTTTTTTCCCAGAGGGATCATGAAAGGGGACTAGACCACAACAACGATTATGATGAGAGAGTGAAAGAAGGGGAGGAGGGAGTTTGAAAAACGCGGGAGAGGAAGGGAAAGAAAGGCAATTGACATGGGATAAACATTATAACAACCAAGCGATCGTTTGACTTACAGCCGGGGGTGGAGGCTCTAGGATATGTAAAGAGCACAACACCTGATTTGCTCTCATCAACCAACTTATTGAGTGTTGTCTTTATGCCATCATTTGTTTCAATTTCTCCACCAAATCCATCCAAAATAATTTGGTTGCCGACTTTGAGTACCTCTTTTGAGATCGTGGATGATTCTTTCTCCTGGAGCACGCCCTCCAGTACAGTGTTTGACCGTTGGCTTTTCCTGGTCCTTTTCTCCGCGAGAGGCAATTGAGTTGGCGCTTTGCGCTTTCGAAGCTCAACCATATTTCGTGATGGTTACTGTTAAATAATAGTGGCGTGGGAAGGAATAAGACAGTGGTGTCGCATATGTTTGTCATCTAATGTGGCTGGGAGCCAGTGACTGTACGTGCCCTGCGCGAATTACCTACTCCGTGTGATTTCACAGTTAAGGTTTTCGTCAGCATTCAAGACAACAAAACCACAGTACAGTGGTTGACAGCTGTGTTCGCTATAACCGGCGCCCAAGAATATAGAGTAGCGTCTACCGGCAATGCAAGATGTGTATTTATAAAGGATATTATATTATGGTGGATGGAATCAAATATGACTTAAAACTGCTGGAGCTAGCTTAATACGCTATGCGTATACATATCAGCTGTGGAGTTATCTGTTGTCATTGAATGCCAATCATCTTGAGTATGAAGTGGGTAGGTACGTAGTACACAGTAGTTTTTCTGAAGTACGTACTAGTATGTCCAAAAACCGTTAAGTCCATATTACCGCTGATGTGGGTTTTCTGCCGAGAACTCCCGATCCAGGCTGCAAGCTGAGAGGTAGGGAAGGAGGAGGGAAAAAAAAAAAAAAAAAAAGAGGCAATCCCATTTTGTCATTGCACACCGGAGAGTTGCGATCGCCACTTGCTTTCATCGTCTAGACTGGATAGCCTGTTCTTCAAGCTGATTCATTCCTCATCTTGTAGAATCGGATATTCACTTCGTTCTTGGCCTGCGTAGTCTTTTACTCCGTTATAATTTCTTTGCTGTCGCACTCTCTTAGTCCTTACTCTTTTCCTGTATCGTTTCCAAAGAGCTTCAGTCATTCGTTGCCATTTCAGTCCATCGATTCCCTGCGGGCTACGCGCTTTTTATATCGCCGTTTCATCCATTGCACAACACGTCTGCCCCTCCCCGGCCCGAGTCAGAAGCAGCAGCGGCAATCTTTCATCAATCCCACTGATCGAAATGAAGGTTTTCTCCTCGACTTGTACTTTCGATTACTCTTGGGAGGAGGTATCAGCGGCGAACTGGCGCAAGTACTGCCCGTGGAATGACAAGTCCACACATGTTGTGGCTGTAGATACATTATCCCGGTCTGTCGACTCAGAAACTGGTATCGTATGTTGTCCTGCTTAATCACCGCAACCAAAAGTTCGTTAGGGTGACTAACTTCTGTATCATTGTAGTTGCGCACAGAGCGTCTTATCACATGTGACCAATCGGTACCGCAATGGGTTCTTTCTCTTTTCGGAGGAAGCGCTACTTCGCATGTTTACGAGATTTCCTACGTTGATCCGAAATCGAAGAAAGTTACAATGTGCTCGACCAACCTCACATGGTCCAATGTTCTGAATGTTCAAGAGACTGTCACCTATCAACCATCCTCAGCGAAGCCGACTTGTACCACGAATTTCAACCAGGAAGCAAAGATCACTGCACTCTGCGGCGGGTGGCAAAAGATCAAGAATAAGGTAGAAGAGGCAAGTGTGGAGAGATTCAGTCAAAACGCCAAAAGGGGTCGAGAAGGCTTTGAGGCCGTTCTTGAAATGAGCCGACGGGTATTCGGTGAACAACGTGAGCGTGAGAACGACAAACTTCAGTCATGACTTGTCCAGTGTTCTATATCCATGCAAGACTGGAATTCAGCACTATAAAATGGGGCATTTGCATATACCGGCGTCAATACTGATTGTTTCCAAGCGTAAGGTGCAAGTTGGCGTTCTTAGTCGTTTTCTGTTTCTTATGATTCCTCTCTTTTCCCTTGTTGGCGGCATGGCTTGACTATGCTTGTTCAATACTTATTGATTGTTTGACTAGCGATGACTGACTGTATGGTTATAACGCACTGTTACTCGCGAGGCATATGTCCCTCAAAAGTTTTTTTCTATTAGCTTGTGCTGCTCTGGGATCGTGAAACGTATATATTACACGGTTACTTGAAGGGTAGCAAATGATTTTGATACCTCGTTTCTGCCGTTATCGATAATGGCTAAAATCAACTGAATGAAGCTCCGCAGGGTATTACTAGGTAGGAGCGCTTATTTATAGATGATATCGTTTAGGTTAAGTGTTGAGACGTGCCCGTAGTTAACCTAAAAGACCCCCGAGGACAACTCGGCTTACCCCCGAGACTTCATTCTTTGCATTCATTCGGCTCGCATCCTCGAATTCCCGTACAACCCCTGCTACCATGATCTTTCGAAGCTTAGCATCGGCCTTGGAGAACATCTCACCCAGTGCAACAGTACAAACGGAAGGGGTTGGAACCAAAGATATAAGTCGAGTATAGCAGTCTATCAGCACGTCGCATAAAGTTACGAACGTTTCAAAATAATCGGGTTCGAATGGTAAGGATGGCGTCAGGAGATAGGAATACTCTTCGCCAGGGAGAAGCTCCGACGCTTCAGTGTGGGGAAAAGAGATGGCAGCGGCTGCTGCTGAAGCAGACGAGGTTATATTACCCGTCATGACCTTTAATTCAGATGGGTCGCTAGACTGCATGGGTAGACCAATCTCGGTGGCAGAACTAGCTCTTCTAGTCTTGGTTCCCGCATGCGCCGCTCTCTTTAACATCTGCGGTATCCGTGCTCTAGCAAGTGTTGACGAGGAGCTTCCATCAGGAGGGTGCACTTGCTGGAATGCTTCAAATTCAATCAAAAGTGCATTGAGTGCCCGCAGATATTCAACAGGGGTCGAGCTGACGTCTAGAATTGGCGGGAGTGATAAGCCCAGGAGAAGGTAATTTATCGCACGGCGAGAAAGCTTGCGGGCTTCGAAGTAAGGAATTCGACCGATATCAGCCCGAGAAAAGTGTACAGTATTGAACCAGTAAATGCGGCCTTCGTGCCTGAAAAGCCGTCAGCGACTCGTGCCTAGTTCATGTATCTCTCAAAGCCATAATGGACTGACGCCTTTCTTAAGTAATCTAAAGTTGATATTCGCTTCGTAGCCATATCATGAATATGCTGATAGATTGCTGCAGCGCTCTGTGGCCCGAATGACCCCCCTCCACTGGTTAGCGGTGGAGGGAGAGAACCAACAGTGGTTTCGTGGCCTATGCTCGATTTTCCAGTGTCTCTGCGAGTCAAGGTAGGGGCAAAGGTGGACGAGATCATGTTCGACATGTTCAACGGAAGAACTAGTAGAGACAGGAGAAGGTCAAAGTAGGCAGAAGTCTACCCTCTGTTGGCGTCCGAACAAAGCAGGCTCAGTAGCTTGCTGTTTCTAGGGATAAAAAGTTGGAGTGATAACAGTGTACTACGACTTTCACTGATAAATATGATTTAATTACACCCGATAAGATTTACGATACTCCACTATTTAACCAACTAACCCCCTGCTGGTTCGACAAGGTCATGGCTGGTAGCACAAAGTGGTGAAGAGTAACCTACTTGAATATTCTAATTATCACGTACATAGCCAGCGAACAATTGGCATTTACTGATATACTTATATATACTCCGTTTTTGTAGAGTATGATGGAGCGGTACTGTATGTGGTGGGCATAAGAATTAGTAGGTACGAACATCAATCACCCCTAGTGGGTATTTACAATTGCGGACATTCTCCGCAACCCCGTGGCCCTTGGGCCTTCCTATGAACGTTCGCCCCTCCCCCTCTTCAACACTTCAATTATGGTTGATAGTTCCCTTTTGGGTCTATTACCAGCGCTGAACTGACATTACTCTTATTTTGTATTCACCCCCACCTATCTACCTATTCCGCACTCCTCCTGGTGTAAGGGCATTCCTAAAGAATGGCAGGAGGACAATTACTATAAAATAATAATCATTCTGCTAATCATCAATTGCTGACAGCAAGTACTTCTCGCGTCTTTCTGGTGCCCCGCACCAAAACAGAGAGGGGAAAAAAATGAGTACTCCCAACGAAGATCCTGTACCCCTGCCAGGGCAATGGCCAGTTGACCCTCAATATGATGTACCAATTGCTGAAGACCGTATATGGGTGGATGGATGCTTTGACTTCAGTCATCACGGTGAGAAGCGAAATCTGCTTACATGTCTGATACCGGACTCTAATTTAAGATGAAAATTGCAGGGCACGCGGGTGCCATGCTTCAGGCACGTAGGCTGGGAAAGGAACTCTATGTTGGTGTGCATTCTGATAAAGCGATACTCGAGAACAAAGGCCCAACTGTGATGACTTTGAATGAGCGGTGAGTAGCTCAATTCAGCATCTCTTTTGCGGCTTGGCTTGCTGATCCTGATTCCTCGTATATTTAGTGTATCTGCCGTTGAAGCATGTCGGTGGGTAACTTGTTGTGTTCCCCATGCTCCATATGTGACACAGTTACCATGGGTGTCTCATTATGGCTGCAAATATGTTGTCCATGGGGATGATATTACATCTGATAGCAACGGTGACGATTGCTATCGATTTGTGAAGGCTGCGGGGCGATTTCGTGTGGTAAAAAGGACACCTGGTATCTCCACTACTGACTTAGTCGGTCGTATGCTCTTGTGCACGAAGGGCCACTTTGTCAAAAATGTGAAAGGCACACTTGCCGGCGAGGAAGGATCTGGGAATCAAGAGGAACGGCAGTTAGCTGCCGCTAACCTTATGCAAAGAATTCGCGATTATGCCACTGACGAGACTGGTTTGCAGCCTGGCTCTCCAGTATGGATCTGGGCTGGCTCGAGTTCTGCCAAGCTTGACAATACTACGGAGGAGCCTGGATTATTCGAAACAATTTCAGCTGGAAAGCCAACTAGACCAGGACAGCGAATTGTTTATGTTGATGGAGGCTTTGATCTGTTCTCTTCTGGACATATTGAATTTCTTAGACAGGTTTTGGCACGCGAGGAAATGGAAGGTCGTCAGCGTGGCTGGTACGACCCTGAAGAGAGAGAGAAAAGACTCAGGGAATATGGAGAAGATTATGGCCCGGCTTATGTTGTTGCGGGCATCCATGACGATGGTGTAATCAATCATTGGAAGGGCTTCAATTACCCTATCATGAACATATTTGAGCGCGGACTTTGTGTTCTTCAGTGTCGTGTAAGCCATGCCCCTCTGCTAGTGCTGGTGATCACCCCGGTCGTCTTATTAACTGCCCTTAGTATATTCATGCCGTCATATTCTCTGCTCCTTTCTCACCAAGTGAGCCCTACCTAAGAGCAATGCCCCTAGGTGTCCCGGATGCTGTTTATCATGGACCGACTACATTTATTCCACTTACATATGATCCTTACACCGCCCCTAAAAGAATGAGCATTTTCAGAGAGACAGGTAGCCATGATTTCCAGCATGTGAATGCCGGCGAAATAGTTGGGAGGATCCTAAAAAGCCGTGAGGCTTATGAAGAGAGGCAGCGGGCGAAGTTGCAGAAGGGAGTCATTGAAGAGCTGACGAAGGCTAAGGAAGACTCAATACATTAGGCGAGCGACTCTAGTCCACACCACGGTATG